GTAGCCATCCACATTCATTCTTAACACTTTCTGGTTTATGTCCCCATCGTCTCGTCGCATAACATGTCCATACCACGCTAACCTTTTGCTTAGCGATTTCTCAACCACTGGCGCTACTTTCAAACTTCCTCTAATATTCCCTTATATACTTAGTTTATAGTACGTCTATTTCAATAAATCCAAGCAAAAAAAAAACAATATAAAATAAATAACTCACCATTTATAGTCGTACTGCGTATGGTTGTTGAACTAAAATTAAATTGCAGTTGACATTTCACTACATTTAATAAAAATAAAAATAAACCTAATAAAATCTCCGCCGTAGGATACATAAAGGCTTCTTCACTGTGTTTTGACAAGTAAAGTAGTGATTTATGTTTGAAATCAATTTCATGCAAAATTAAACACAATAATACAATAGTCGCATAAAACTTAATCAAATTAAAATCAGACGGAACTATTTTTTCTATTTCTATTTTTTATTTCCTGCAGGAGATAATTTGGCTAGGTCACTAATAGCCTGATCTATAAGTTTCTTGTCGAATTCAGGTGTTATTGATTTTAAAACGTTGTCTAAAACCCAAGTAGTTATCCATTTCTGATGAATATGATTTTGTATTCTTCTTAACTTAACATGATAGTCCAATCGTCTCTTGACACTGTTATAAACACGCATTAACCTTTCTCTATAAATTGCTTCCAATTGCATTGAGACATTTTCTTTTTTTGCTTGAATGAGCAATTTTTGACCATGTGCTCTCCATTTAGAGTCTTCAGCTTCCTTGATAATGTTTTCATAATGTTGTACTTCTTTATTTCTAACTGCATTATAATTTTTTTCTACATTATCTACTTCTTTGTCCAAAGTTTCGCCCACTACAGTACCAAAATTTTTAGTACCATAGTACACAATAACGAATACCGATAGACCAACGTAATATTCATGCTCCATTACATATATTTCTTTACTGACCAAATAGTTTATAAGCATTATGCCAAAAAGGTATGGTCCAGTGACGCCGGTTATTGGTTTGAAGAAGACAAAAAATTCATCAGGTATGAATCCAAGACGTACTTTACCAGATTTCTCCGCGCGTTTGAGTAAACCAGGTTTGTTTGATTGCTTCTTATATTCCGGACATGTGCTAGTGTGTGTTGCAAAAACAACTTTGTGCGTTAGATAACGTTGTTTATATTTCAATATCATCAATCTTTGGATATTCATGACTGAATACTTATGATAATTAACAATATTTTGTGACGAATATGTTTACTTCATATTTTGTGAATTGTCAAATTAAAATTTGACATATACGTAGTTATTTTAAAACTTGATACAACCGAAAAATAATCGATTTTATATAGTGCCAGTGACAACTGCATAATGATTTGCTTTTTTTGTGAATGTATACTGAGTCTTTTGTTCCCAGGTTTCCCGGGTAAAAAACAAAGGTCCTATTGAGGGGTGACAGTAATTTTCACCAGGGGCCCATGACATAGTATGATCTATCTCCGACCTATATAATCGACAGACCGAGGGCACGACTTATTGTTGTTTCTTCAGGAGATTTAATAAAAACTGTCTAGACTTTTACTACCATCAGCACCATTACGGTGACATAAAATTTGCAGCAGTTAATTGTCATGATCTTGACTTTCATTTTTAAATATTAATCTTTAGTCCAGCAACTGACTCCACTGGCTTGCAACATCTATAAATTGAAGGTAATATTACACTACGGCTTAATTAGTAAGCAGTTTTACTTTTACACAAAGGTCATCGAAGTCATACGATTACCAAATTCTAAATCGTTTAATGTTACATAAAAGTAGTTAAAAAAGGTAATGATCGACGAATATCAAGTCAATTAAATGTGACAAAGGAATACCGTAACCTCAAATGGTCATTTAGGATTATTAAATGGTGACGTAACTATAAACTGGCATAGTATGTTCATATGTTGCGAAAATAAATCGACTCCGTGACTTACTCGTCAGTATACGAGGACAGCGGCATCGCGCGGCCGCGTCTGTACCTAGCTTTATTTTAGAGATTATCGTAATAGAGATTTCCTGTTATACCAACCAGTGAATAGAAGCAGTACTCACAAACTACTCATATTACAAGTAGAAGACAAACAAAAAAAAGTAAGTAATTTTTCAATAATTTTTAATCCTAACTTTCATTGGCTTCTTCAATCAATATTTACTGTAGAAAGTACTTACCTATTAATTTTTAAGAATGTTTTAATAAGTTACTAACATTTGGATTGTTAAAATAGGTCTCTTAACGGTAGTACATACTTTAACTCAAAACACACGCGTCTTGCCCTCTAATGACCTGAGAGATAACTTACAAATGCTCAAGTAGTCTGTCGTCAAATATCGTCAAGGGAAACAAAGGACATGGAACAAAATCGAAAATCAAATCGAACAACGCAATCGATGTCGAAATAACTAAAAAAAAATAATTACAAATATATACATTATTTCAACTAAGCGGAATGCATTTTTTATATAAGGTCAAACTTTGAACCAAACGGGTATAACCTGTTTGTAAATCTACACTTTTTGAAAGATAAACATATCGAAGTATTTGTCACCATCATCATGTCCCAGCCCTTATTCTCCTACGTGAGGTCAGCACAACAGGTTTCATGTTTCAAAATCATAAGATTTCGTCATATTCGTATAAAATTTATAGTTAATTAACAGAATCCAATAATCAATCTCGAATTATATTTACATATCTAAGACATTTTTAATCTCAATAGCAATAACTTAAGGTAGAAAAAACTTAGAAATAGAAACATCTTTAAGGAGATTGATCCATTTTTATACTGCTTTTCATATAAAGTTATAAAATAATCTTTCCGAAACAATCTTAAATATAGTATTGGATTGTTTGTTATATTTTTATTAGTAACTGGAAAATAATGAAATAATTCCATTCAGACATCAATTGAAAATTAAAAAGAATTAAAAAAGATTCTTACAAAAAAGTATTTCTTTTATCTAGTTTAGATCTAGAACGTTTCATAATAATTAAATTGTTCAGAATCATAAATGCTTCAATCGTAAGTCATGTTTACTAATTGTATAGCCACGAAAGTGCATTAAAATGCATAATATATAATTTTTTTGTAAAAAACGTAACTGTTTATATATTACTAGCTGTTGTTCGCTACTTCGTCCGCGTGAAATTAAACAATAATAAAAAAATACATAAAAAGCCCAGGTTTTTCACAGATAAATTTCCTTTCTAACAGCGAAAGAATTTTTGAAATCAGCCCAGTAGTTCTCGAGTTATTTCAATACGTACAAAAATACAAATCTTTTCTCTTTATAATGTTAGTATAGATTTAATTCTAATTACAGTATACTTATTTTAATTTATAATGTTTTGACATGGCAAAAGCCAAACGATAATGAAAATCGAATTATAAAAATTTTACACAAAGAGCCAAGAGACTATATACAATGCTTTATAAGTAACAAATAAATGCTATACTTAGATAAATTAAGATTTACAACAATCTAGACCCTAGATTCTTTTTTATTGGTATCTGTGAGGCCCTAGATTCTGGAGAGTACAAATTCGTTCAAAAGGATATTTGACGACAGGAAGGTGAAGAAAATGTTAAAAGAAAAGTAGTAATTTTCTTAGAAAAATAGTATTCTTTATTGTTTAGTTACATGTACAACATAAAGATTAATTATATTTTATCAGGTAAATGGATTTTTAGTCGCTTATGAAATATTTCCGTGAATTGTCACTGCCGAAAAATCGTGACAAAACTAACGATCCCACAATATTTTGAACGAAACTGATGACCCAAGGTTGTTAATGTCCTACAATGTTTTTTTTATCTTTCAGGAAGAAACTGGCGCCGTCAAGCAAAAAAATGGTAAAAGACATTAAAAAAAGTGGCATGGATGGCCTAATTGGTAAATCGTCTAAAAAATCGGGTAACATTTTGGACTATGGAAAGAAACAAACGAACAATGTTTCTGTAAAAACTACTTCTATGAACCTGTCTTCAAAGAAAAGCAATACAGAAAACTTTGATGGAAAAACGTCTAGTACCATGACTAATCTGAAACAAACCAAAAATAATTTTGCGACTTCAACTTCGACAAATAATGATAAGAAATATTCCCCAAATGTTTTTGGAGAAAAGGCGGGAAGTTCTAAAAGTCATGGATTTTCCAGCTTCGTGCCACAATCGAAACCAATTGCAGATATGAACAATGTTTCTTCTTCTCATAAGGATGCTAAAAATAAAAAATCGTCAATTACATTTGGCATAATATGGCTACCAACGAAAAGACGCAACAAGTTAAAAGATAACTTAAAAAACAGCGATGTACGTGACCGTTCTAAAGAAAGAACACCTTCAATGTATAACTTGTAAGTAAAACATTTATCTATAAAATTACCTACAATAAACCTTTCCAAACTTCTGTTTAATCTCAAATAACACATACATAAATTGGAGTTCTGAAATCACGGTGGTCAAAAGATAGTAATAAAATCCTAAAGGCGGGAATACATAAACCAGAAAATGGATAAGTAACTTGTACAACAGTTACTGGTATGGCACGTGCCAGTTAGGTGTTAAGATGGAACAAGCAACTTATAACAGGTTTAATATATGTTTACTGTGCTCTGTACCTGTGAAAATATATTAACAAATTATAAGGCAATACATCAATATTTAAATCAAAAGAAACATTTCGTCAAATAACATTAGATTTCTTTTCAAAGTTTTGTTTAAAAAAATGACTTTTTAAGTCAAATTGTACGTAGCTAAACAACGGAAATGTCAAAAATTAAAAAATCAAAATACGGCGTCATTTGCTTGACATTTGACATTTGTTAAATTGACAACTTAAAATTGTTTTTTTCACAAATTCATATCTGCTGAGATTCAAATAAATAATAATTCGTGGTCTACCGTTTTTATAACATAATAATTACACAATTGTATCGGGCTCGTGATCAACTTTACAAGGTGGGTATTAAAAAAGTAAACGAAACAGTGAAATTAGTTTATCAATAAGTAATATGTATCCAACATTTTATTGTTTTCTTTCAGCATGTCTGACCGGTCGTTGGATCAAATCGAAACAAGTAAGGAACGAGATCTGTTTACTTCTGGAACACTGAAAATGACTTCTCCAGTTTTCTTTGGAAAAAAAACTAGTGAACAATCTCTCGATCTGAATCATTTGGATTATGACAAATACGACGATCACGACGAACGCGATAGAAATGTAAGTGTATTAATTGTTTTCAAACATATTGTCAGCTCCGAACATCATAAGATGCACAGTACAGAACATCATTTTAGGCGTAAATGGCCCCTCCTATTTACGCCACAAAATTATGAGATCACTGCGGAGCGCGCATTTGACCTTGAACGGTGGTTCAAGGTAAATAAAAGATAAATAAAACGCAAGTTTTGAAAATAAAGCATTATGTGCTTAAAATGAAATGTATTTTAATAACAGTACCTTAAGTCTGCTATGTGATATGTGATTACAAGTATACAAGCTTTTCCCACATTTTATCAGTGTTCATGCTAAGCCTTTCTTCAAAGAACGGTTGTATTGTTAAATTTGTGGACATAAATATATTATTTCTGATAAGAATGTATTCGCATATCTATTTTTTGGAATAATATAGTTTTTTCATGTTAAACAGGGTGCCAGTGTCTCCAATACAAGTGTGCATGGTGCGGTAGAAGATATATCAAATCAAGAACCCAACGCTGATAAGCCCCAACATAAAGGTGAAGATGTTGTTGATAAGGTTAATATGCTGAATCGACAATCCCTATCAAAGGATCAAACTGCTGACTCCACGGTGGAAAAGGAGGAATGTTTGGTGGTATGGCTTCATTACTTGCTGCAATGTAGTGATTGTTGTATCATGTAAATATGAAATTGATTTATTGATTATACAATGGTAACAACCGAGGCATAATCTTTGTAAAAAAACATAGTTACACTTCTTTCTTATGTGGTCCTAATATTTGCAGATAAAATATTAACTAAGTCACAAAATAATAAAGTAAAAAGTGCAATGTTTATTATTCTATTCTATTCTATTTCTTGTTTATGGCTCTCCCTCAGTGGATTGGGCCAGTGATGTTCATTTTTTGATGTTTGTTTACAAAGTTTATGTCCAGATATTAACCTGTGTATGAAACATTGTATTTTGATTAATGTAATCTAACTCATAATTAAGAATTGTATGGTAGTCATAGTCTATGTATCCCATTTTAATATGGAGTATTTTTAATACTTAAAAGAAATATTGCTCAAATATTTTCTTTTTATACCCACCAGTTAAATTTCATGTTGCATTTAAAGTTAATTAAAATTAAATTTAGTAGACTTTTTGATTTTCAAAAGATGTTAATCAGCGTTGTGCTGTTATATAGGTTTTTTATTTATCAATCATATAATCTTTGTGCATTTCAATAGATGGGATAAGTTGAACATGGAAGTACCATAATTTCGTATCTGAAGAAATTATTTTTGATAAATTTATTGCAAAACTTACATTAATTAGCTATGTATTCTTTTAAGATAAGGCTTTTGTATTGATGGTATTAATTTTTATATATTATATTGGTGCCAAATTACAATTAAAAGAGTATCGAATACGAAAGGTTTACATTGTTAAAACAATCTCTTTAACCATAAAAAAGTCCCTACAAACTACAGTAAGTTTGATCGGATTTGCCTATCGAGCCAAAATCACAATAAATTTCCTATGAAATTTGTACATCTCTATACATTTTTCATTCTTATTAAGAGACTAACTAAAATATTGGTTGATATAAAGGCTACAGGGGTTCTCAATGTAAATTGTCTGTTAATTTATTCTTAGAAGTTTTGGTTGTCTTTCAATATATTTCCAGATCATAGATTTTTTGCTGGAAGAAATAATACCAGTTATATTTTAAGGACTAAAGAACATAGCAAGTTCCTAATATTATTTGGCATGGATGTTTATTTTTTTAATAATTGAGGTTGATTATAAACTTACTTAATTAGAACAATAAAGTAACAATAAAGTAAATGGAAGAAATTACAATTTATGAATATAAGATTGGACATTGTAAACTAACCTTTTTTCAAGGTTTTAACACTGAATGTATCTTAGCTGTTAGTTTATCTTAGAACATTTACCGAAATTATAATAAGATTCCTATGTGGTTTGTCATTATAACATGTAATTTTCTATCCATATTGTCACCATTTTTGCATATTGGATTGTTGATTGTTACCGGACAATTTATAATTTGGTAGGACAGGCCCTATATAAAACAAATTAAGTCAATACTTGCCTTAAGCTATTATCAGATATTATGCTTAAATGATCTGAAGAATGCATGTAATGTCCTGTCTATAACTGCATATATTTGAATCTCTTTATGCTCAATTAAGTGTTTCAATGTGATCTCTTATTACATTGCTATTTAGTAATGTAAAGTAAATGCAGTTAAATACATATCTTCATTGTCATTTTAATAATTCCATTTATTTTGTAGTGTTTTCATCAACCTCATTCATTTAGTACTTTATAAGGATTTTACATTTATTTCTATAGTTTTAATTTTAAATATAAGCGTTTTATATTCTCATTGTAATTTGTAATTGGTGCAGCTAGTTTCTTTGAGCCCTGAGTTAGTAATAGTCCAGATATTGGAAATATGGACAAAGGCTGATTTATATTACTTTAATATTTATGTTATTGGGATCAATATACTATAGGGTATATATTTTTGTTGGCACATATTTTTTATAAGTTGAAGTAATGTTTTTACATGTTACGATGATTCAGAAGCTTGCAAATTTACATCTTGATTTTTAATATGATGTATTAAATTCACAACTACAAATGTTATTCTTAATTAAGTAAATTATTCGGAATGAAATTTCTTCGTACGAAGTCAGTTTGTTGGTTTAAAATTGGCACAATTAGTGTATTACTTTTTGATTGCTTGTAATTGATTAAAGTTAAATTGATGACGGACAATGTCATTTGATATGTACTGTTGAAGGGGTATAATTGTAACATTTGAAGTATTATTATAGTATTTATATGAATAACCTTGTAATTGATAGTGAGAAATAAATCATTGTGATATTGGAGTCTCAAAATTTTTACATTGAATAAATATAATTAATGAAAATTGATTTTTTATTGATTACCTTTTCTTTGTGAAACTGATACAGCATGTTATCCAAGAAGTGTACAACGCTTGTTGGTGTTGATTGCTAAGTCGAGCTGATTTAATCATGTTTAAGCTGAGTTTGGTACTTAGAGATCCAAATCTTAGTTTCATCACACTTAGTTTTACTGTACAGACAACTTACGAGTGCGTGTGTAATTAGAAAGATCTTGCACATTTTTTTTGAGTAATATTGGTGACATAAAACGTCAGTTTCCTGTTGACTTAGTTACACTTTATAATATAAATGCGAATTTTAGATGTATAGATATCCATCCATCTCTAACCCCATTCATCCATCCAGATGTTTGTTAGAGTTTGTAGCCTAAACGATTGTATGGATCTCGATAAAATTTGGCATAAATGTATTGGATAGTCTGGAAGAACATATACTTTTTTTTTATTTCACCCATACAGAGTCGTGGATCAAATCTAGTATTTCATAAATCTATTAGGACAAAGCAATTGTAGTAATTAATATATATTGGTCCAAGGTTTTGACTGTATTGCTTTATATCTATGCCAAATCTGATTATCCAAGACTTAAAACCTATATCCATATCTGAAAACAGTACTGGGTATAATAAAACAAGTTTTACAAACGGACAAAGTTTATTTCTATGAAAAGTTAAACATGGTGGACTCTAAGTACCACTTTACATATATCAACAGGTAATAAAGAGAAAATAGTTTAAATAATCACAAAATACATTTGTACTGAAGAAATGCATTCACAGCTTAATAAAAATAATTTCATTAAATGTTATACAAAAAGCAGAAATGAGAAACATTTCTCCAATCTTACAAAATATGAGATTCTATCTAACGAAAATTAAAAACAGTCTTAGATCAAAGCCAGCTATACACAATCACTTTTGACTAATGGAATAGCACAGAACAGTGGAACTGTTTGGTTCAAAATGATCATGTGCGACTGGCTTAAGGAAGTTTGAATTAAACATAAGTTTTATTAAAATATGGCAACAATCAGACTTTTAGTTTCAAATAATAATTTAAGAGTGTTTAAACTTAAGTAAATTAAATTTTTAAAAATTTAAATAATAAGTATATAATTAAGATCATACTAAGTTATATGGTCTTAAGTTATCATAGATCTGTAGGTTAAACTTATAGAAATATATCTTTTAATAAAGAATAACAAAATCATGTAAATGGTAAGTCTTACGTCTCACTGAGCTGTGTTCATCAAGAACATATCACAAATTTAATTTGTGGATTTTAAGTTGGCACTTAACATATTTACCCACTTTCTTTTTGCCCTTAACATTTAATTATAAAATAAACTAAATAACAAAAACTTGTACTTAAGTGAAACCATTACAAAAATGATAATTACAACTGGAATGGATCTTGACAATTTTTTGTGATACATTGTAGACTTAGTATTAATAGTAACAAAAAATATTACAAGCCTTTGGCCTCGGTAACAATCTAGATAGAAACATACAACCTTTCTAAATTATAACATAACAACAGTTCTACTTAAGGCATCTATTAAAAAAACCAAAGTAAATCATTACAAACAAAATAAATTCTATGAAAAGGCAAAAATAATTAAGAACTAATAGTTTATTCTGTCAGGCGGCTGCTATCACAGAATGGTTTTAATAATTGCAGTGAGTACAGTTATTAATTAGTAAAGTAACATATCAAATTGAGTAAATGCAAAAAAGGAATGTAGTAACTAAAAAAGTTTTGCTTATATATGGTAAGTATTAAGTAAGAAATAGAAACAAAAATTATAATTAACAAGAGACATCTTGGACAGATGGGGCTTAGCACAATCATCTATAATACAATATTCTTATATAAATCTAGAATCATTGGTAAATGCTTTCATCAGACAATATTTTTAATAGTGAAGATGACCAAAAAAAAAACTTAAACTTTGAAACACCAAACTTAAGAATTATCTTAAATCACCTGCTTATTAAAGCTATTACTCCATCTCCATATCTTCTTCAGACGGTATGGGTTGAGGATCTTCGAGTGCATCCAGAACTGGCTGCATGTCCGTGTCTGGCTGCAGATCTCTTTCATCTAGCACACAAATTAGTGGCACTGTTCAATAAGAATAAAAGATAAGAGAAGACACAAAAACATTGCACAATTTAATCGCAATCCAACCCACATTCGCTTATCCTAACAATATCATTTAATGTAAATGACATTCACAATTTTAACAAAGTAACAAAGAATATATGTGTAAGTGAATTTGTATGGTTAATTAATTAAGATTTCTAGTCCAGTCAGACGGTGGCGTTGACTGGGACGTGAAAAGCCGAATAAATGCAGTTTGGATGTAATGGAACATGTTACTGGTGTGACTTGTGATCCAAGAATGCCTCTTAAGCTTAAGGAACAAATCTACAAGTCCATCATAAGACCTGTCGTATTGTATGGATCTGAATGTTGGGCCACCAAAGTTGCGGATAAAAAGAGATTGCATGTGGCTGAGATGCATATGTTAGGATGGATGTGTGGTGTGACTAGAATAGATAAAGTTAAGAATGTGTATATTAGAGGAAGTTTGAAAGTAGCGCCAGTAGTGGAGAAATTGAGAAGCAAAAGGTAAGCATGGTATGGACATGTTATGCGATAGAGGATGGGGACATAAACCTGAAAGTGTTAAGAATCAATGTGGATGGCTACAAAGGTAGAGAAAAACCGAACAAAGTATGGATGGATTGTATAGTATGGATGAAGGGCAAGTTAATGATGATTAATTAAGATTTCTATTCAAATAATATAGAAACAAAGATGCACATAACAGTAATTACCTCTTCTCGTCGGAACTTCCCGAACTGGGGAATCATTGTCTGATGGATCATTGGAAATGTCATCAGGTTCATCATTGTCTTTCACAATAAAATTATACATCTTACAAAGACTTAGCAAAGTGAAGATTATAAACAAAAATACTATAACATCTTGGATAGAAGTATAGTTTAGAAGCTCTTCCAAAATATCTCCTGAAATAATATAAAAGATATATTATACAAAGCAATGGATATATAAATATATACATATATCGCAATCAGAATAAGAAATTAATTTGAATTTAAGGCATAATTAGAACACAAGTGTTACCAAGCGACTTTCGTGCAAACATAGATTATTCTGGAAATAGGGATTGTTGCGAGAACATTGTTTGAACGATATGAGCTTACCTTCCACGGTTCCTAAATAGATTGCAATGCAAAACAATCCATTTAAAATGAGGCGTCTAGTGTTGAGGTATTCAAACTGTTCACCTGTAAAGGTCAAAAAACAACTATGAATATTGTAGACAAACAAGTCTGTTGGTGTACAAAGCCTTCATTCATGTCTTTTTTTTTCAGATTTTTAGATCAATAATTCTTACCAGCTATAAAGATTAATGGAGCTTCAATCAAAAGCAAATCTTCATCCATGGACAGCGAATCCTAATTCGAATAAAAGAAAAAAATCATTAGTTACCATAACAATTTTCTTAAGTTATTTTTTTCTAAATACAATAGTGCAATATTAAATACATAACATATGCCACACAACAGTACTTTACCTACATTGCACACAAAAATTAATTAGTTGAATTTGAGCTGCAGTAAACAAGGAAGATATTCTTTTCGTTATAGCTCTTACCAAGAGCAATTTGATTGGTGAGTAAGATCAATGTAAAAGTAACAATTTTAAAGAAATAAATAAATCATGTAATTTCTACACACCTCATAATCCTCATCATACAAATCATCTGACTCTGTTTCTTGTTCCAAATGGGGTTCTTCTTCGTGAGTTTCTAAATCTGACTTTTGTGGCAAATGGTGCAGTTGTTCCATCTCAGTCGATACTAGTTCCTGTATGGTATCAGCGGACTCTTCCAATATTGGCTGCAAGCTCCTTTTATACTGTGCATTTCGATACATGAAAGGTAGAATCAAATAGGGTTTCCATTGTGACAAAGTATTACCAACAGGTTTTATTCTAGGCTCCTCACAATTACTTTGTGTTTCCCTAAACATCTGCTCAACTTTTTGGGCAAACTTGCTTCTATGATTATTTTCAACCACAGACGTACTTGGGCCAGCAATATCCTCCATTTTAAGTAGTTTTCCATTGGATTTCAACAAATCTTGTTGCCTGCCATTTCCTGATGGGAACTCAGATGGTTGATCTGTCATACAATCTAATTGTGCCAGCCTTAGTTCTTGTTGAACTTCATATTCGGGCCGTAACAGGTCTCCAAAACAGTTTGCCTCTGCAACATTGACCCGAGGATGATCTCTCACTTGTGGAATCTGTGGACCTGCCTCCACAGACTCCATTTCGTGTACTTTGTTGTCTTCATGCTTCTGTATAGATTCATCAGAAGCTGATTCCTCATCATGGTGGTCTTGCAATTGGGATATATCTGCATTTATTGCCAGATTAGAATCGGACTGCTCTAATAGAAGCTCCATGTTATATACTGTGTTATGTTCGTATCCCTGTGCAAATTCACTAGAAGCAGATTCCGTATCATTGTAGACTTCAAATTGGGATTCATCTGAAGTTATCGCCAGCTCCGATTCAGACTGTTCCAACATAGACTCCAGCTCATGCGCATATGTGAAGCATTCATATTGTTGTCCACACTTCACTGTGGTACCATCACCAGCCATTTCATGAAATTGCAGTTTTTCAAAATCTGAATGTTCTTTTTTGTGCTCCGCAGCCGGTAAATCTACCATCCCTGATGTGACAGCAGTGGTTACTCCCTGTTTAAAATATTTTTCAAACACTAAATGTAATTACAACACAACTGTTCTTATTCAATATAAACAGATTACACACATAAAAAATACCTACAATTTCATCACTTAGCGGGCCAACAGGAATATCTAGACAATCAGTGTTTAAATCATTTGGTTCTATTGTTGGCAACATCCTGAACAACTCCATGTACAATTTATTATGCTTAGGATTGTGATGTTTATCGTCTGATTCTTCTGACGAGCTACAAATTGTAACGGAAATATGATTTATGTCATATGTTACAAAACCATGAAACTATATGTGCAACTGAGTTATCCAAGTTTTCAATATATATAACTATACAAGTTTAAATGCGAAGAAACGATGGGGACATAAACCAGAAAGTGTTAAGTGTGTTTAAGATTGAATGTGGATGGCTACAAAGAAAGAGGAAGACCAAAGAAAGTATGGAAGGATTGTGTTAAAGAGGATATGCTTAAGGAAGGAGTGGATTCAGATATGACGGCTGATAGAGATGTATGGAAGAGCAGCACATACTGTGCCGACCCTCCGTAAGGGATAAGGGCAAGTGGATGATGATGATAACAATGCAGTATAATTATTAATACTATACCTTGTATCAAACACATCTCGTTGTCCGTCTTCAAAATAACGCCGCCACTTTTCTCGCAATACAGAAAACTTGACATGGTCCATTGTGGATTTACGCCAAAAGTAAACTCGTCAAAAGAAAACTTTAAACAACTAATAAATTGTGCTTATTATGTCCCAATAGCGCCGTAACAACGCTTGGATTGATTCAACTGAATTAAACTTAAATGCAATATGGGCTGGTTAAACAATATTGTACAGTCATGATAATAAACAGCTCAATACAATAATCTGTGTACAAGCAAAAGAACCTAGTACACGAATTATCGGGACTTGCATTATTTGTCTGTATATTATCAGCCGTACAATATCGGTACTGGCCAATAATCCGTGTCCCATACAAAGTATGTACACGAATTATTAGGTCATGCATTATTTTGCCGTACAATATCTGCCAGTAATCACCCGTAATGATAATGTACAGCCCATGGATGAGCTTATTACCTCCATGGTACGCCCCGATAATGTACGGCCAAATAATGCACGTCCAGTTAATTGGTGTACTAGGATCTTTTATTTGTACACGGATTATTGGGCTGTGCATTATCGGGTCGCCATTATTATGGCTGTACATTATTTCCTGTAATGACAGCTAATCAATACCCAACCAATTGCAAAATGAAATTGAAACCGAGTAAGTGAGCTACAAGTGTCAAATGTTACCCTTTCTAACAATGACCAAGAGTTGCCAGATTTCAATCCTTTCGTTGTTTGTACAAAAATAAGCAATGATGTAATGCAATGCACCAAAAATTTATTATTATATTATTTACTTTTAAACTATTTCTAAATATTAACAATAATTTATTAGCAACATGTTAAAGTGAAAAGAAATTCAAAAACCGAAAATTGATAAGATTCATGACTCTTACGCCTTCTAAATTTATTTTTAAAACTAATCTAAATTAATCTAGTTATCTTATTTAAACAAACTATAGTAGTACATGGCTGTAGCAGCGCTATTTTAACGTTTTTAATATCAATGTATTGTATTTAAATTGTCCGTTCTTTGTTTGTATTGAAATAACTCAAAAACGACTGGGCCGATTTAAAGAATTCACCATCAGATTTATCTGTGAGTTACATAGGCTATATTTTAATATTACTAATGTTTAGGTACTAATTATAAACTGCGTGTTTCTGGAAGCCGGAGTTAAATATTCACTAAACTTTAACTTTTCTTAACTTACGCTGCCTAAACCGTTAGAGGTATATAAAAATTATGTACAAAAGAATTGTAGATCTCAAAAAGATCTATAGATAAGTCCGAGATAGCATATGTCTATCTTTACCGGTTCTCTTACAATAACCACTTTCTTGTTTACAAAATGAATTAAAAACCTTACGCTATTTACAGCGTTCTTTTATTGGTTTCAATTTTAATCCTTTTCCAAATGAATGCGTTTGTTATCAGGAGAATTTAATGTAGAATAAATTGTCCTTTGCAGTATTTAAATTAGACTAAAAGTTTAGAAGATATCGCGAACACAAACAATTAGGGTAACCGAAAAATCAGCTTACAAGCTACCGGGCTTAGGTATTTGGAATCTTGCATCGGTACATTTCTGTTATTGCGTAGATTACTACAAAGTTAGTACTTTTGGTAATAGGTTAAAAAAAAAGGGCGAACTTAAGTTTTGAACTTCCAAATTTCACTTTTCCAAATTTGATTATTCCTGGTACAAATCATGACATTTTTATTGTTAATTGAAAAGCTATTAAAAACAATGAATTTTAAAAATACTAAAGGAAAACAAAGAACTATTGTAGATTTTTGAAACGCTGTAGAATCTGCTACGGTATTTCGAAAAATGCAAGTCTTTCCGCTTTATAATATTAGTATAGATATAGAACACAGATATAGATTAAATAGAAATATAATATAGATAGATATGGATAATTAAGTTTAAAGTGGGCATAATATAAAAAGGTACCTTGAAGACGAACCGAGGACTAACCTAACCTTCTAACTGTGGTAGTGCCCGCTTTAACATCTTCGCACGAATGGGCCGGCTCCCCCGGTGAAATACCACACCGCACAGAAAACAGTCGTGAAGTGGAAGCAATTCCGCTTTTCGTCTGATGTGTATGCGCCGGAGGCCTAATTTAGTCCCTTTCGCTTTCCACCATTTTCTTGAGAGGAAGGGATGGGTAGGAAAGGTGGATTTGACGGTGGAGGAGACGCATAGGAAGGGAAAATTTCCTCTTTATGTGCGTCTCCTCCTCCGTCAATCAAGGGTAGGCACCGCATCTGCAATTACGGATGTTTATGGGCAGCGGTCGCTTTCCATATCGGTGGATTCAGGTGGCCGCTTGCTTGTTTGCCACCTTATATTATAAAAAAAAACTTTGTTTTTTGGACGGATTACCAAACCTCTTACTTTTTCTGACTTTACTAATTCTTCGGAAATTTCGTGTGTATTTACGTAAATATGATATAGGTAATTGAAAAGTAAGGTATAAAAAAATAAATCATAGTTTGATCCCAATTTTATTTTTAACACTATTTTGAAACAACTCATTGTTGTTAGTAATAGAATAGAAATAATACCAACATAATAGTCAGCTAGTTCCACAATTTTACAATAAAACTAAAAATTTACTTCATATTAAAAAATTAACATTTACGAAACTAAATAGGAGTACTAGAGTCTAGAGACTTTAGGTATATCATAATTCACAATACCAATACATAATATAATACTTTAAATGCCTTCTTGCGATAATAAGATTAATACAATCTTTCTAATGTTGATGTCTTTTTGTGTTTTTTGTCTTTTATTCTCATAATTTACAAATGAAAAAAAACTGTTTATCTAACTATTCCACACCAACCCGGCACCTAGTGTTGGGTTTACATTTACAGGTCACATGAAGCCACGACTGAGGCCACTTTCACGAATTACTCGTGCTAATGATCCTACCCGAACGACGACGAAGAGTTGGACGCGAATTCATAAATATAATAGTGCACTTCCTTAGTTACTAGTAAGACACTTTTATTTTTTCAGTTTGTAAATGATCCTTTAGAAGCTAAAACTAGATTGCAATATTTATTAATTATTACTAGTTATTTTTTATTATTAGCAATACATTTCATTTACGTAATAGCGTTTGAGTCACAAGCCTTAAAAACCTCTCATTATAGTTTGAATTATGTGTCAGTAAATTTATGCACTTCTCTTACATTTTACCTTTATTAATAAAAATCATCTACTATTTTTGCATACTTAAGTTCTTCACTGTAAGTGATTATAATGTACACAGTCTTCGTGAAAAGTAGTTGAATAACATAGCATACTAAGGTCCTGTCCCACCACTGGTTGATAGAGGCTCAGATAGCTTGACAAACGTCACTGTCAGATAAGGTAACAAAATCCGATATTTCCATCACTTATCTTACACGTTGGATTGTTATCAGACAATATACAATTTGGTGGGACAGGCCCTTAATGTGTAAAGATAGAATCATTTATTAGTTTTTTATTAATCCTTACAACGTATGCTATGAACTCTTGTATTGAAACAGAATGGCACTAGAGAGCCTAGAAATGAAAAAAAAATATATTATTTACTTTTGAATAATTTTATTTTTACCTAACATAAATTGATCGCGTCTTTAAATCTAATAGGCGTAAGTACCCGATATCGAAATATTTGGTCGCTGTATGCCATTCAAGCTTAATTATATGTATCTAAACTACGATATACGCTAGAAATGCATTTGTTTCAATTTGTTCATGTTATTATAGATTGTTAACTTCATGTTAGGACTGTTGGAAACCAAATTTTGTAGTCTCTAAGACAGCTGCGAAAGCGATCAGGAACCGAAGTGAAGCGTAACAAGTAAGACTTAATGGTTTACTGCATCAAACTAAATCGCTAGCCGATGATGTAGGTTAGGTCTATTGAAAGGTAGCTTAGTGATACCTTAAGTGTTTTTCGAAATGTTTAGTATATGTATAGCGACAATTTCGTAGGGTGTTTTGGAACGTCAAGTCGATTTGACTTGGGTGTATTTGGAAGTTGAGTTTGGCAACACTATGAGATGTCAGGGCGATCAATTGTCAATGCTAATGTCAGTGTCAATGACGGTATCAATGTGTCAAAGTCATAGCTATCATTCTGTGAGTTCCCATTTTGGAGGGAGATTGACTTGGGCGGACGTGTTGTGAGATTCTTTCCGACTTCACCGCGTTCCAAACGCGATTTCGTTGCTTCTTGCCGATTCAGACAGATTTAGAAATTTGCAACTATGTAATTAAACCAAGTGAACGCCCAACGTGTTTGTTTTCGGACATCCAAGCCACCAGACACGAACGACTGGCATACGCTCACACCCTTGCGGCCCTCGCTTCGTCATATATACCCTCCTCTAGCAATGCATATGCTAGTCTCATAAGATTGTGGTCACTTGGGTACCGGTTCGCTTTGGTAACTATATTAGATGCCTTAATCGAATGCTTTTCCATTTCAGAAGGTAAATCTTACAAGTAAATCTTTATAAGACCGTAATGCTCCCAACATAAAGATAAAAACCTATATCTTTATTATAATAATAATTATTAAATATTTTTATTTACCTTTCTAACACCCGGTTTCTAAAGTCTTTTCGTTGAATGTTAATCCAATTATAGTGCTATTGGTTCTATAACTACAAAATTCGAACTAAGCATCTTAAGTTATACATTGTTAAAATTAGTTTATCTTAAATGACCTAATTTCGCTGATTTGGGCACTACATTCTTATATTTTACACGGTAACTAAGCAACGAATCTTCAGAAACCGGGTATTTGCGATTCTTCTAAGAACATTACTTATTCTAAGGCAATGGACATACACTCAAAATAGACCGGTACAAAATATCAGGAAAAGAATCTTATCTAATCAGCATAATTTAATAAGTTGTCGTGTCTTAAATGTATCCAACTCTGTGAAGCTTTCATTTTTTTAATGTCCAATTATCAATTAATTAGCTTAAAATTTTATAACTACAATTAATCAGTCTGGGCTCTAGCTTAATTTAAACAATGATCAAAAACAATGGAAAAAGATTTACAAATAAAAAATAGTTGACGGTTTAAAGTATTTTGGTCACATCACATTTCTTGCATATTTACCAACACTCTCAAAATATCGAAGTTATCCATACAGTTAACACTCTTATCTAGAATATCTAGAAACATATCTATAAATTGGTTAAGAACATGTATTTCCTGTTTGTATGCACCAAAATGGAAACAAAAAATTGTATACTGATTGCTAGAAAGTTTTAAATAGATCGTACATAATATCTAAATTTAAAGTGAAGTATGCTTATTCATCAGGACTTTTCTCCTTGCAAAACGTAGAAACATGAAGCGCCGCTTCTTCTTAGCTCCCATTTGGAGGAGGAGGTTCCTAGCTTCAGCCAGGGTAGCGGGGTCTGCCGCGTCTTCCACTCCGGAGACGAAACCGCTTTCTGGTCTTGACAAAGCCGGCGCAGTGTTAGGAAGCAGTGAAAACCAACGATCTATCTTCGCACTCGAAGACAACTGACATAAAAAAACAACTGAACGTTAGCAACTAGTTTATAAACAAGGGTCTAAAAAATAACAGAGTCCTAGGTCCGAGGCCGTTATTATTGGTACCTGCACCCACCTCTTAAACCAGGTCTAAATAATGGTCTAAAAAAATATTCATCAGACCAATTTGTTAATTCTAACTTGACTCTAGAAGTGGTTGCATCTATGGCCGTTATTGTTAGTAGCTACACCCTTAAACCTAGCCTCAATCATCGGCTAGAGATGCCCGTGGAGATATTTTTTGTTGTATCCCTCACCACAAGTAAAACTATTTACTCAATGTTGCATACTATTTTTTGTACTATACAAGTTATTTACACAAGTTTTTTTTACCACATAGCACTTTATCATCATTTAACTTCGAGTATCTAAGTTTAAAATAACAACTGCTTTCCTTTTCACCTTCGTATTTATCAGTGTAATCCTGAATTTCCACTGCTGAAACACCTCTACAGAAACTTATCGTTTCTCTGTTTTGTTCAAAAAACAAGAAAGATAGTAAAATATTTTATTCGCAGATGTTTTAGACGAGGAAATACCAGGTAAGATAACGTTCTTTCAAATGTAATCTTTTTTAACAGAATCCTATTTCGTTAACCTTTGAGCTTTACATTGACATAGTTCCATCGCTCTCTATTACTCGGATCTTAAAACTCGATGTCAGATTTCCAACTAAAACGAAATGTATTAGCTTCTAGTCACACTGATTAAATTCTAAAACCTACAGGATTATTTTCTGATAGCAAAAGTTCAATCTAATATTACAGTACTGCAATGTAGCTTTCGGATTATTAATACTATACCGAGTGTTGTACGTGTATAGTGATCAAATTCTTTTAGAATAAGGAAGGTATAATTGAATTAACCCACGAGAATCTCTTACTTTAATTAGTTATAGCTCAATAGCATGTCTCTACCAACATCAATAAAGTTTTACAAGATTATTATTGTACTGTCTTGACGTTTTTTTTTATTTCCTGTACTCAGGTTTTATATATCTGACAGATGTAACCGCGACAGTAGCTCATTTTAGCGGTTCATATAAGTTAGTGGCACTATACATAATTGGCCTTATATCCTCTAATAAAACAAGAGGGTTATCACGAATATCGGTGAGAACGTTTTCGTGACGTCAAAACTTATAAGCTGACAAAGTACATAAAAGTTCTCATAAAAATTATATCGATGAGGGTACGAATTCGTGTTCGCAAATATTCGTAATAGCCTCTTGCACAACAATATGTTGGTAATATAAATTTCAGAGGAGTTCAAACCCATGATTAGATTAGATTTATTTTGATAAATATACTTGGGTCTGCTCACTTAAGGGTAATTAAAGTAGATCAAAAGTGGGGTGTAAATTTCGAACAATATTTTAATGAAAAAAGTGGTTATTGTGCGACAACCTTAATAGATAGATATATGCTATCACGAACTTTCATTTAGCAAATTTAAAGGGCTACAATTCTTCCATACATCATTTTTATGTAGGTCTTATAGTTTAGGCTACGTAAGCAAAGAAAGCAAAAATGACCCGAAATTTCGTCGCGCGATTTTGAGCTAAACTATTTAACTACGTCGTAGTCTTTGACTCCAAAAATCAAACAAAAAAATGGGACCCACCTGCAAGCATTACCTTTCGGATAAAAAATGAATTTTCAAAATCGGTCCACTAGCGGCGGAGTTATGCCGTAACACACATAAAAAAAATAAAAAAAAACATACAGACCAATAGTACCTCCTTCTTTTGGGAAGTCGGTCAAAAAGTATTTATTTAATCTTATTTCTAATGGATATATAAATAAAACATCAATGAACATCACGTCTAACTTTATTTAAATCCTGATTTAAACATTTAGATTGAAGAAAATGTCTACTACAATTTTATTAACCCCTAAATACTTGAAGTTTCAAATTTGATAACGAAGTTATGAATTGCATTGGGCAATACAATAGATTCCATTTTAATAGGTTGTTACATGCAAGCTTTGATGTTAGGGTGGGGAGTCACATAGTCGTGGTCAAGTTAAGAGCTTGACAAAATATGTAAATATATTTTGTCAAGCTCTTGACCCATGACCCCCCTCTTGATCCGCCGTTGTTAACATGTTACTGTTGACTGATAATCTTCGAGTTAGAAAACAAAAAGGAGCATATCGCTTAATATTTTGACTTGTTTACTATTTTTCCTCATTCGTAAGAAACATAGAAAAGGTTTCCCTTATACATTTTGTAATTTGAAAATCAAGCTTTTAAGGGTTAATCATAAATAGTCCAATAATATTTGAATAATGTTAAAATCCAATACTGTTGACCGACATTCTATTTAAGTTCCTTGGAATAAGTCTTGTCTCAAAATGATGTTCACGCCTTATAATAGCAGCTTTCATTCCTTATACTATTTCAATACTTGATTAAATATATGTGATAAATAGACACTGATACCGTATATATTTGAATATTCGAAATTACTACTTTAAAAACATCAATGAACCTTTGACTACCCACTATTTGCAACTATTGAAATCCTACGAGGCAAAAATTGAGATTGTAAATTTTTAACTTACGTTTCCATTGCCGAAACATATACAAAGATAGGTTGTATTAGGTAAAGCTTAAGAGACTCGTATCTGACAAACATCATATTTGGAAAAAACCACGACAGTTTGAAGTTGTATATTGTTATTTTTCAAAGATGATTAGATGCAATTTTATACATGTTTCGGTAATGGAAACTGGTATAGGATAAAATTCTTATAATGTACGGTATACGCGATTGAATGAAGCTGCTATTTTAAATCCTACGATTTGCGAGCATTTCTATGATTATAATCTTGATATAGTATTATGCAACATCAATATCAACTAGTATATAATAATTTTTAAGTTAAAATATTAAATTAATACCAGAAATTTAAAAAATAACGCGCTCACCTAGAAACAAGACTTAAGATTTTTAACCATTTGTGTTTCTATTTTAAATATAAATTAGGTTACACTGGAAAAACAGCTGAATAAAACATCATTCTATCCTTATCATTCTCTTTGATGTAACAGGAGACAGAGAATAATTGTAATGGTGTTCGAAAGTCGAAACTAAAGGAAACGTAATCGATTCGTCATAATAATGAAATAACCAATAAAACTTAAACGAAGTAATTACATATCATTCGTTACAATAAAAGAAAAAGTGATGCGCGTGGAAATTATAAAACTAATCGAAGATAAATTGATGTTTAAAAATGTAGGCTTTTAATAATAATAAAACGATCGCAATCAATGCAACTATTAATACAATATTACGTTAATAAACAACTATTACAACACTTGTCAGTGGCTAAATAGACTAAAGTGTGAAAGTCAAGGAGAAAAAACTATTACAATAATTTAAAGACGGCTATTGCAGTAATCGATCAAGCATTTTGAAAATACACTACTTCAACATTGATAAACATTTGACTATTTGACTATTCTGACTTTAAAGTGAAGATTAAATCGAAAAACATCCAGATAATAACCTTTTTTTGGGTTTTTTTATTTTTTTTGTCCTTTAAACATGTGTATCTATTATCTATTAAATGTTAAAAGTGATCCAATCCGTTTATCGTAGAGAAATCCATTTTCGCAATGCAGTTCCGTCGTTGAGTTTTGTTACTTGATTTTGTGGTTTTTTTACTCTCATAAATTTTGATTTCATTGAGTCCGTTACATTTTGAAATAGAGTTTAGGATTTATAAATAAACAAGAGTGATGTTAATTTTTTTTAACAATAGAATATAAATAATTTAGCACGTATCTAGTAGTATACATATAGGTAGTTTTTTAATATATAATTTTGACACTAGTAAGTCTTTCTATAATATACAGGATGTCCGTTAAATACATATACATCGGAACTAAAGATTCCTTAGTGGAAATCGGATTGTACAGGCGGTTGCAAAATATAATCGAGTGTTGTTTTCACATTCGTGTTTTCGAACTCCATGTTGATTTTAAATAAGAGTAAGGAATCAGTAGTATTCCGTTGTAGACGTCTTTCCCGGACACCTGTATATGGAAGTAGAATTGTAAAATTTATCTATTCTTAGGAAATTGTAATACAAAATATTTGACATATATGGGAGAAAACAATTGTATAGTTTGGAAAAATTTCGACAAGATATGATTATAGATATGTAGTGGAAAATGTATTTAAACAATGTTTATGTTTACGGGGGCTAGAAAATTTCGATATGTAATTAAAACAAATAAAACCATTTAAAGGAACACCTGACTGTCAGTCGATAAAGTTTAACATTGGCACCTATAATTTTAACGTCCTAAGACGTACTACTAACATAATTATGTAATTTAAAATTAAAGTAGTAAATTGTATAACTAGAATCTTTAATAACTAAAATATTTAAGTGGGGTAGAATTAGGTAACTTGACTCGAATGAAGGAAGTTTAATTACTTAGTGGTGTGGCGGGTCCATTTTTCTCGGATAGAGGCCATGAGCTCACTCCTGTTAGAGACCTTCTCGCTAGTGGTGCGGGTGATGGGGGAGGCGGGGGATGAGCCGGCCACCGGTACTGAGGAGGCACCGCCCGGGGCGGCATTTTTCGCCCCCGACACATTTTTAACGCTTCCGGTGGGGCTCACTGGCACAATGAGCTGCATGCGCCCATTCTGGCCCCTAGCCTTCACAGCTATACTGTGCGACAGCGGCATGATGTACGGGTGTCCTTCGTCGGAGCTGCATTCTGAAGAGGTATCCTTCGAGCTAGAACTCGAGCTCTCACTCGAAATCTGGAAATTCCCCATGCCCAGCGCAAGAGCTAGAGCACTTGCTTCCTCGGCTGAGCAGGAGCCATCCTGAGCGAGCTGAGTAGTAAGTAGGTTCACCAGTTCGGTGTCGGTGAACTCTGAGTCCAGCAGCGGAATGTCGGGGAAAGCCTGGCGGTTCTGGTAAAACGGCTGACTGTCGTCGTCGCTTTGATCATTCAGGAATTTAATGCTTTGGAACTTTTTGATGAGATACTCTTGTATCTCTTCGCTGGTCATATCGGCCAGGTTCAGGTCTTTGTAGTCCTCGGTCGGAGAAGGGCTGAAAGGAGTGCGAGGCACATTGTTGTTCTCGACGTTCTGCTTTTGTTTCGATTTGGTTGCCTGTGGAGTGTTAAAGTTGATGAGGGCGTCATCCTCGGCTTGTTCGCGATTGCCGTTTGTCTCAGCTTTAACGGCAACATTCTTCTGTACCAGGTAGCATGGAGGAAGAAATTGTAGTATTAATATAATATTAAACATAAACAGCAAATAATACATTGATATACAACAATTAAAGCAAATTACATAAAAAGCGAAAAAAATAAAAACAAATCAACTTACATCGATCGAAAACTTGTTAACAAAAATAAGCATATTGGCGCAATCCGGTTTTTTAATGCATCACAACACTTATGAAAGCTTTCACACCTGGATTCGTTTAACCGATAGTTGCTATTGTTCAAAAGTGTGTGAACTCCAAAAGGAATTCTAAAAGGAAGCAACTACGAGTATACAAAATTAGGTAATCATGTAATAAAGATCCTTGTTTGCTTTATTTCGGTTAACGACATCACTCGCTTTAAAAAAAAGTAGTAAAACAAATTTAAACATGCATAAATAAATAGAAATGTGAAAAATACGATAAATACAACGTTTCTCCAAGTGTAATTAATAGATAAAAGTATTACTTGGAATAATACTCTAATAAAACTTCGGTTTGAATGAATTATAACTTCGACTAAACTATAATATTAAATAGATTAAAGTACTAAAGGGAAGCTGTCTATTCCGTAGAAAACAGATATTATTATGTCAAATAGCATGAGAGATGTTCCCAATTTTTGCCACAAACATGTACTAATTAATTATCTTGTGACCTAAAATGCAATCTTGCTAATATTATAAATGCGAAAGTTTAGATGGATAGATGGAAGTTTGTTAGAGTTTGTAGTCTAAACGGCTGAACGGATTTCGATGGAATTTGGCATAGACGTAGAGGATAGTGAATAAGAACACATAGGTTACTCATTTTTTTTAATTCCATGCGCACGGAGCCGCGAGCGAAAGCTAGTATTTTAATATTTATACAACATACAAAACAGAACGCCAAGTATGTTAAGACAAAACTAAATTAAGTCGTCTATAAAGTCGGTAAGAACACCCACATAGTTGAAGCGGGTTCCGGGAGTCTCGGTATAGTTGGGGATAATTGCATTGATTTTATTCAATCGTATTCCAGATTGCTTCGAGATTAAGTTTAACGAAGCGGATATTGAGTTAGAGGAAAAACTTAAAAATATATAACCCTTTACTAATCTTTATAGTTTGGACGACTTTCTAAGTTTCATTTTAATTTTTTATTGTCATCGAATGGATGTCGTATTGTTACTAAAAGTAATAAAGTCATGAGAATACGCTCCATCATCATCATCATCATCATCATCTCCTTATCCTACTCCCGAAGGGTCGGCGCAACAGGTTTTTGTCCTCCACATAACTCTATCATATGTCATCTCAGTCATCACTCCCTTTTTGATCATGTCACCTTTTACACAATCCATCCATCTCTTTCTAGGTCTACCTCTACCGATGTACCCTTCCACACTCATAACTAACGTTCTCCTTGTAACATGCGATTCATCCCTCCTCATAACATGCCCATACCATGCTAACCTTTTACTCCTAACCTTCTCTATTATGGGTCATGTCATGAGAATACGCTATTAAAGGAAATTTGAAAGTAGCGCGAGAGAACATGTGGAGAGCGATAGGGAGCCTTCCCCTATAGAATTATTTCTTCTTATATATGTCAATAGAAAGTATCAGAATAGCGTACGCACTTGGAGTAATTAATTGAAGACGTCCTCGTGGTTTTAGCATGATTAGATAACAGGAACTATCTATATTATAACAAACAATCGCTTCAAAAAATTATGAATTTTTGCTGTTGGATAATGAAAAATTAAAATTGTAAAAACTGAAAATAACTTTATACACACGACTACGACATACATGCTTAAAATAATAAAAAAAGTCTAAAGCTGGCAATAAATTGTTGAGTTATTGAGATAATTTACCTGCGGCAACATTGTCAGTTGCTGAGCGCTGATTGGTTGAGCGTTCTTCTCCCGCTCGTGCAGGTGAGCCACCAAGGTGGAAATGTGCTCGAGAAGCTCGTTGTTATGGATCAGCAGTTGGTGAGTTCGGGACTGTTAAAAATAACCATTATAAAAAAATTGCATTGCCTAAATTTTTACCTTTACTGCTTTCCATAAGATCTCCCTTCAAACGAAGGAGGAATTTGTTGTTGGTTTCGAAGTTCCAAGCATAATACGTTGAACTTCAAGTTAGAAGTCATATAAGCGAAACATTTTTAATTAAAATCAGGATCACTCACATCGAATAAATATTATCTTGCTTATATTATAAATGCGAGAGCTTAGAAGGATGGATGTTTGTTAGAGTTTGCTGCCTAAAAGTCTAAACGGATCTCTATGAAATTTGGCGAAAATGTGGATAGTAGCATAGAAGAACACTTAGGCTAAACTTTTTTGTTTTTAATTACCAAGCGGACTGAGTCGCGGGCGAAAGCTAGTCAGTAAAATTATTAACCTGAGCCTCACAGCGAGCAGTTTGTTCAGCAACAAGCTGATCCCTCATGAGAATGAGTTGGGCAACTGCTGCCTTAGTTTGCTGCGCTTGCAGCTCAAGTCTCTCGCGCAGGAGTTTGAGCTGATGTTGTGCGCTCAGCGGTGTTTCAGGGTCGATCTCAGGCACGACCGGCAAATCAATCTTGGTGATGAACTCCGGCAGCTCAGGCAGATTGACCGTAAGTATTGGCGGAGCCGGCTGAAAGTGAAAAATTTGTAAATGGTGAATTAGAATAGTATTGCTAAAAAAATTACACATTCAATCTTTGTTACATAGGTCCTTAGTGTAGAAATTTTCGCTAAGCGTCTCTAATATAATCTAATATTAATAGAGATAACTTAAAAACTACTGGGTGGATTTTAAAAATTCTTTCATCGTTATAATGGTTTTTATATTTTTTTTATTTCTCGTGGACAAAGTTGCGAGCAACAGCTAGTAACTATTAAACCAAGCATATCTTTAAAGAACTCATACACAATATTGTCACATATTTATAATCATACAATCATCTACATGTCTTAAAAACAATAGTCAAAGCGAAGAATGCTAATTCTATCACTGGCAACACGATTTAAATAAATAATTCATTTGAGTGCAATTAATTCATAATTTTTAATGCATATCTGTGACGGACTTTTATTAGACTATCTATTCTATCTATCTTTCGCCTGTGACACCTTCCGCGTGGAATTAGAAAAACAAAAGGAAGTAGTCAATGATTTCTTCCAGGCTATACTACATATATATGCTGAATTCTATCGAAATCCGTTAAGCAGTTTAGACTACAAACTCTTACAAACATCCATTCATCCGTCCATACAACTTCTCATTAAGTTTAAGATTATCAATCACCATGATCCAGTTGCAAAGATTTTTATTTAAAAAACAAATAAAGAAAGTAATTATGAAATATCGTACCTTTCAAGTCTCGGTACATTGTAATATATTTCAATTTATCCTCCTTAATTGAATTTCAAAATACTCTCTCGAAAATTAATGCTCGATAAAATACAACTTCACTTTCTTAACCTTCGTCCGACAACAATCGTTCGAATTAAAATAATTCTTAATCACTAACAACACCCAAAAGTTTTTCGAACAAACCCAATTAGAATATTTTAGGATCTTCAACGTTTTTTTGGTATAACTCATTATGTACATAATTTTAGACAATAATTGATACTGTCGCTTTAAACTCAGAGCAACACTTCTCGTCAAGACCCAGGTTGCGCGCCAATCTATCCATACTTCTAGTGACATTGACAGCTGTCAGCTAGGGACGTGACGTTTATGACGATAATCTAGAGTTGCGCCAATTCTATAGCACGGTACTAATTTTATTCCTAACAATAATTATATACCAAAGTCTGGGTAACTCAGTTTTAATAATATTAGTAAACCATAGACTTTTAAAAAGATTTATCTTCTTAATATGTTTTCCCAGCTACATTTAAGCCTTAGCATTCGATAACTTCATGAAATGCGTTTCCGAACTACGTAACTTGAGTTTTACGCCATTGAAACTTAAGTCTACCTAACACCAATAAATCACTAGTTAATGATGAAATAAATGGACACTTCAGCTACCCAGCATTAGTATTTAAAAGAAAGTATTGAGACAAGTAATATTTTATTAGAATGTTCATTTAGACATAACTATAGATGAGATTTTTATTAGTGAAAATATTCATGTTAAGATGGATGTGTGGGGTAACACGAATGGATAAGATACGAAATGAGTATATTAGAGGAAGTTTGAGAGTAGCCCCCGTAGTAGAAGGTAAGGAGTAAAAGGTTTGGGTATGGGTATGCTATAAGGAGGGATGAATCGCATGTTACAAGGAGAACGTTAGATATGAGTGTGGAAGGGTACATCGGTAGAGGTAGACCTAGAAAGAGATGGATGGATTGTGTAAAAGGTGACATGATCAAAAAGGGAGTGATGACTGAGATGACGTATGATAGAGTTATGTAGAGGACAAAAACCTGTCGCGCCGACCCTACGGGAGTAGGATAAGGAGATGATAATGATGATGATTCATGACGTTCGTGTTTCTTAACGGTGAGTTTTCACTACCGTGCTACCGATGTTACAACACGATTCTACATTATCTGACCATGAAAAAGAACCCTTGCAATGCTGGAGAAAAATATGAAACTAACTTATTTACACAGATAATGTAATCAAGAAGCCGATTAAATCGGTCCCAAGTCAGTTTAGTTACACAGTTGAAATGAATTTGACGTGAACGTCTTTCTTTTGTTAATGAAGCTACAAGAAGATCGTATATCGGTGCATAAAGGAATACAATATTGGTATCCGAAAGCGTGACTTGAGTTTTGAAAAACGTCTTTTTAGCTTGGCCTAGAGCAATTTAGAGCAAGCAAAACTACTGCAGCGATACGTGCTCCTTTAAGTCAGAATGAATGAAAGAAACATAGTTCTCTGAGATTATCTAAAAGAATTACTGTGGTCTAGCAACCGTTGGCAATGTTCGTGAAATCTCTGGAGGCATTATTGTTGCGCTATGGAACACTGATATTCTTGCCGAGAAATAAAAGTTAAAAATTCAGATTTTTATACATATGAATAACATTTAATTAACCGATAATGATGTCATTTTTGTTCGTTTTTTCAATCCATTTAGAACTTCTCAGTAATACCAAGTCATCGATTGCATGTTCTGGCGTATTTCCATTCAACATCCATAGGTGTTTGTAAGCCAAAGTGGTGGTAATAAACGCGGATTGATAAAGTTTCAAGAATATTCTAAAATTAAACGAAATCGGTCAATTCCCATGAAATGGGTTAATATAGAATTATCGTTTCTATCACTTCCTAATACATGTAGCTATATATATTTATTGTTTCATCAATGTTGCCCACTTTATGACTATTTTATACAGATAATTTTGAATATCATATAGTGTTAGCGTCACAAGAACTACTGAATCTAGATCGATCTTGCATACCAATGTTATTATACGTTTGATTTATTGTAACACTTTCAGATACTACGTGGGAGGGCGATTATTATGAGTGGTAAACTCTATTTCCAATATTCATTATTGTTTCTATTTTTACAACGTTTGTACAAATTGCAGATGCCGTTCGATAACATTCTAGCGATGATTCGCAACTTACATCAACACAACTATTGATTCAGTTGTTTGTGGAAATTATACAAGTTGATCAAAGGCCCGCGAGTGAGGTTCTGTTTGTGGATTGAATTCAATTTCATTGATGATATTGCGCAGTAATTTCATACTAACACTTTAAACAATACATCGAAGGGAGTGGCAATATACACTCCAAATATTCCTTACAAACCACTTTTTTATAAGACGTTTAGGCGGTTCGATGGTTTTGGTTTTTTAAATGTCGTGAATAAGGTTGAATAATAATAAGAGCTTATTATTTTTTCAATAAACACTTTAATGATTTCAACGATTACCTGCGAGCGCTTTCCTCCCCCCTTCTTAGCCGACGCAGGCAAGTCCAGACGGGTTGGACGTGCCAGTTGCTTCCCTTTCGACCCTTGAGAGGTTTCTGCCTTATCTCCCTTGGATGTCGAAGCCCCACCAGACACGGAAGCACCAGATGTAGAGGGTGTTTCTGATAACAATAGTAATGGTCGTATGACTTAAAACTATTGAACTATAAATCTAAACTACGATAAAGAAATAAAAAAATTGAATTATAATATAAATTGATGGAATTCCGGATGATTATGATTCTGCTTAAAGTTTACGAACAACTAAAAATAAAAATATGTTGAAAGTCTAGGATTTATGTGTTTTCTTTGAAAGAAAATGCTTGTAGGAATGCGCTTTTTCTTACTTTATTTCTGTTTGTGTGTTTGATTATCAAACTTTATCTAGTTGGTCCAAGGTATATTTATACCCGTCAAATATAACATTGAAATAGAGGATATAGTATCTATACTTATATTATAAAGGGAAAAGATTTGTATTTTTGTATTGTGAAATCCACCATTTAAAAGGTATGTATGTTTTCAGTGAGCAACATAGGCTACATTATTCACATTTTTTAAAATTTCTAGCGGAGGAAGTCGCGAGGAACTGGTATTAAGTAAATATAATATTTATTTCGTCAATTTAGGTCGATAAGTATGTTGGTAACCTCTGCACATTAATTCCCTTGTGGTTGCAGTGACAACAGGCTACCTTTGTCATACGTTTTGATTCTAAATGAATTCATATACGTTAGAGATGTCCCTCCGTAAGCATAGAACTCAGACTGATAAGTCTAAATAAACGCACATTACTGGAAGTCACGTAATGCATGAGTTAGTTATCTCCCTGAATTTGTAAGTTTTTAATGTGTCCTAAATTCACGAAATGCTACAATTTCACAAACCTTTTTGATATTATAAGAGATTTTCCATTATTTTCTCAGTAATTTATATAAAAAAAAGTTTTGAAGTAAAATCATACACTTGTAAAACATTTCTCTGTCATAAATCGGATACGATTGGTACCACTTAGATGGAGATCAATGTGGTATTTGGATATCCAGAAATGGATATTGTATCCATAGGACCGCTTGCGTTCTATCTGTTATGGAAATATATGGGAAGCTAATAATTAGGAATACATAGTGATAATTCTTATTGACATTCTTATTTTATTTTTTTTTTTCATTGAAAGTATAAATAAATATGCATTAAATATGCAGATATCAGTACATTTAAATTATAAGCAATGATTTGTTTATAAATGACATTAACAATTATGTTTTGTAACAAATATCGGGCAATAATTATTTATGAGTTACGTGTTTCAGACAACTACGTAATTGCTTAATTGGTGATTAAGATCACAATAAGAAATGATTTCTGTAACAATTAGAACAATTATTGTTATGAATTGTTTTATTTTTAAAAAGTTAGAAAACCGTTTTATGTAAAACAAATGAGATTCGGTATTTAGACTAAGTTAAAGTTTGCTGGACTTTATAAAGTAAAAATATAATAGAAGAATTGACGAGAAGTAAAACTTAAGTTGTTTTTTTGTTATTGTATTAAATCGTTAAATTTTTAGCTGTAGTTTTAAAGTCGAGTATTATATTAGTTTAAACAAATTTAAACTACATTATTAAGTTTTATTAAATATACGGAGCTGTAACGTAAGTTTTGCAGAAACTGAATTTTATAGGAATTCGAAAGTTTTGAAGCAGCTTTTCTGTCGGCAGCGCTAACATTTTGAGATGCTACGGATCAAATAGTTTCGAAGTTAGGCGCTTACTAACTGTATACTTATTGGCCTAAATTTATTATTTCTTTGAATACTTTAAAAGTTTTAATATCAGTTTTAAGGTGATCCGGAAATTGTGTTCACTTTTTAATGTAAGTGAGTACTCCATTTTTGTATAGATATAATCTAAACTCCACGTGTCGAAAATCAAAGATTTCTTAGAAAACAGGAGTAGTTCATTTTATCAATATAATTCGCACATTCAGGTTCGTAACACAGACTTATTGAAAAAGCAGAGTACGAAAGTATATCGCATTGTTCACAATAGCTACCACAACGTTACATACACCTTTTAAATTCAGAGTTGATTAATATTTTTCGGATATGACGTAAAATGCTTTCACATTCTTACTGCGAGTTTCGATTAATGAAATTCTCAAACGAAAAAAAATCTATCTCATTCGCTACGATATAAATGAGATAACAATGCTTTTGTACGTCTTTCGGTTATTAAAAACGGTTTCAACTTCGAGTAATAATTTTTTTACCTGAGACACTGTTTACAACGTATAAACCGTCACATAAGCAATAAACGGTGACGCAGCCGACGTACCCAGCTGTTGCCAGTCGCGTTGTATGTCATAAAACAATACATAAAAGCTAATTATAAACCTCTACATATATGATGCGGTGGACTACGGTTAAGATGTGGCTCTGTCGGATAAACATTCAGCCAGGTGGACTGAGATGACCTAATTTTGACACTTCAATTACATATTACGTATTATGCAGAAAATATCGCTATCATATTGTAGTTCCTAAGGCGACACTGTCATTTGTTAACAATGTTTATCTCTTGACTAGCTGTACCCGTGCGGCTTCATCCGCATGAAATCATAAAAACTTTATTTTATTATACAGTTTTTAAACTCTCAATTGCAAATGTCAAAATTACCACTACCATAATAATCTTGCTGCCTTGTTGTTGGTAGCAGCTTATGGTCTCTTTCCCATATTAGGGTTTTTATCCAATTTATTTACCACTAAGTTTAATAGTGTGAAAATAGCCTAAAGAGTGACGTAAATGTGGGTTTTTTATTAAAGATTATTCAAAAATGTACTGTAATTGCTGACTTACGCCTTACGTCTTACGCCACAAAGAAGTGTGTGTTTGCGTTTTATTATATTAGTAAAGATGAAATTTCACCGAGTGTAACGTCCGTAGTCTAACCGATTAGTCCAATCAGTAAGGTGTGATCCATAGTTCTGTTTCATTTAAGCTGACATAGCTTCAAGCTGTAAGTATTAGCAGCGATGTGACTAAAATCTTGTGGCATATTGGTTGTGCTACAAATTCATGTTTCAAACTTCTTGTGGGATGTTTTTTTTTATAGTGTTAACATCTCTAACTACAGGATAATTGTTATTTATGAGTAGCGTCGGTGTTAAGTGACGGACAATTTATAATAATATCGCGTACGGTCATTGATCATACGAGATAAGTGTGATAGATGTATATCGGTAATTTACTCTCGTATTTGGCACAGGCTTTCAGTTACGATTTCGCGCTCAGATTATCCCACGCAGTTGAGCGTAGAGAGATGGCAAAACTATATATTATGACTTTATTTTGGTGAACGTGTGATGAAAGGTGATTTTCAAGTGGTGATGTATCCATAGTTGCTGTGTCGATATAAATCTACTATCAAACTGATAAAAGAGTTTCTTAAATCTTACTATGTTTTGTTTAAGTAAAAGGAAGAAAGTTGTTTTTTGCTCTAAGGAGTTAAAGTAAGCTTTTTATAAAACAAAATGCGAAGTTTTGGTTTAAATTTGTTTGAGCAGATTCTATTTCGTATCTTAATCAGAAGAAGTGTTTTATGTTTACCACATAATCATTTCAAGGTCTTCGAGTAAATTACAAAAAGGTTTTGAAACTAACATTAACTTAATTATGTACAATTATAGTAATTTTTGTAAACAAACCACATATCAAAAAGATCGCAAAGCCCATTTATTAATAACTTAATTCAACATACAAACATCACAAACATTTCCGAGAGAGCTTCATGTGGTTATGTTAATAAATAAAACATTTAAATTTTAAAATTCCAACCAGCAAAATCGCATGTCGCCAGCAAATATTGGTTAAATCGCAAAAGTGCGGCACACGTTGAAAAAAATGAATATTGGCACAAGCACTTTATAGCGTTGCAAAATATTAATACGATAAATTAAATATCAACTTATAAAAGTCTGTTAAAAAAGTCGCTTAAAACATTTTTCTGTAAATACAATTAATTTAGTAGGTTATCCAAACCTTTGGATGTTTTCCCGGCCATTCCGGAAGTGCTGGGCCCGTCTGTAGACGCAGCCTGTTGCCCAGGGCTGGTGATTTTCATCTTGTGGCACACATCGAAAGCTTGGCCCACGGTGCGTACAATCCTCATGGCCTGCTTCTGTGAATATTAAAAAAAATCTTTATAACAAAAATTAATAAACCGCTACCCAGAAGCCCTTGAAAAAAAATTCAGCTATTCAGGTTACGATCACAATTTATTGATTAAAAGTAATTCATCAGTGAAGCCGATTGTAAGTGTATATGAGATTAAGGTATTTAAAAAAAAAGTAATAATACTTTGATAATTTTCAAACTAAAAGTTTAACGTGAACTGACGACTGCACTGAGTAGTCGAGCGGGAGACAGTTGGTGCTAGATGAGCATCAACAAACCTTCTGCACATGAGTAATAATTTAAAACATTTTGTACATTATTTGCAATGTCACAATAAAATGACCTTCAAAAAGACACGGCGCCGCGGCTGCGGTCAATGAAAATTTTTGTTCCCAATTGTTGGAAAAAAATTGTTCCCCGTTCTCGAAAGTGCAGGGAAAAGCTAGTTAATCATATTTATAAAGATTGATGTTAGTTTCAATTGGAATAGAACGTGTTTTATTCAATTGAACACGACGAAAAATGTCTGCAGTGCTCAAGTTTTCACGGAAGATTAAACGGAATGCGCCTCCGAAGACTCTGTCTTTACCGACTTTTAAAGAATGAAATTTTCAATTCAAGATAATGTCATAAAATGTAATAAATAAATTGTACCACATCGATTGTACTTTTCTATTTCATTGATTAAAAATCTCATAGGAAATTTTCATGTATTAAAACTGGCATACAAAAATCTACTGAAATGTATCCTTGAAAAGAATTAGGCCAGTGTATAAGATAAAGGCTTGAAGCCTTTGACTAATCAAGCTTTTGCTCTGTTAAAAGCAGAACAAGAGAATGGCATAAAAAGTAGACAGGTTGCACTCAAGTAAGTAATATCATTACGAAAGGAATGAAAAGTTCAGTTAGCCTGGATATACCTTACATATGAACCGAATTATGTTGCTTCAAAGCATTTTTGCTTCAAAACATGCTTGGTTTTGTGTTAATTTACCATATCCAACTAAACCAGTGTTGTTGGATATAGAAGATATGGTTGGAAAAGCGATTAAAAGTATTTGTAGTTTTATAGTTATTGACTAATGTCAATAAACTCCAAATTCTTTTGAAACGTAATTAATCATTTTTTTAAGGCAATGCCCTTCTGGAGTTAGAATATAGTACTAAGATTGCATCATTTATTTAGATTCTTAGGAATGCATAAGCATACGAATATTTTAAATTTTTATTCATAGAAGACTGGGATATTATTGATGACATATGTATTTTTATTCTTTGTCGTTTCTCAAAGCGATATCGCTCGATTTATAGAACTCGCTTCACTAAGCTAGTGAAAAGCTTTTACTGCCAACCTCGTCAATATTACCTCGAAATAGTGCGAGTCTGACTAATGGAATTAAAAAACCCTCTGAATAACAAATCTCGATCAAGCGGAATATCTGAACATAGTTTTTAATTGAATTTTTTGACCTGCGACACATTTTTGAACGATGAAAAATTATTTTCGTTCAACATTCGTCGAGTAACATGACATTTGACTGACGTAATAAATTTACAAAATATTTTATTAAAATTAAAACGTTTTTTACTAAAACTTTTTTCTAAGTGTTTAAATTCGAAATATTCATAAGGAAGCGTACATGAGATAGTAATAACAGTTTTATTTACTACATAAACGTTCAAATGCATCAAAATATGGTTATCGAAACGACTCTGTTCTTTTATTATTATAAGTGCAATCGGGGGAATTCTGACGCGATGGGTTCAACAGTACCTAATCCTTGGACGGCAGCCAAGGTTCATTCCGATACTTGGTTTCGACTCAACAGATATCGCTAACGGTGAGTCTCTAATGTCGTGAAATCTGTATAATAACGATATTGCCATCCCTCTTTTTCTCATTGACACAATAGAGAGAACAATAAAGTTATTATACACGTAATGCGTTTCGATTCAAGGTGACTGCGTTTGTCACGATACGATTTACGTTAAAATATGACGTGAAATGTCAATCAGATGTTGTAAAAGTCACTCATCCGACGGCGTGACTGTAAAAAATATAACATAAATTCAAACAATTTTCGTTTAAATTATAACGACAAGTGTCGTCATTAATAATTTTAAATAGACGTAGCTGACAAAATATTTGCCGAGATGTAAATAAATGTAAGGCGAATAACGCTAACATTTTGAATGAAATGAATAAAATATTATAAAAGTTGTACACACGAAATACAAACCTTGCCAAAGAACCTTGTCAGAGATAAGTTTTACTTTTTAATACATTAAAAAATGGAGTGTCTGTATGTTGTCTATCTGGGTGTCGATAGCAAATCCACGCTTGTTCCAGGTAATCTCCGTAATGGGTAGAGCTAATTTTACCTGTATAATAGAAGGTGTATGCTAATTTTTATCCACGCTGAACTCGCGAGTTACTACTAGTATGGAATAAAAATCGATTAGTGAAATATAATAATGTTATTACTCGTGAAAACGTGCTGATTTGTTATAGAATTTCTTTATTCAATACATATCGAAAGAGTTATAAAGTTTGATGTTGATTTGCCGCCAAAATCTAACCGGTAGTTAAATAAGATCTTTTGCATTTTTAGATAATTTAAGTATCTCTAAGAAAATTTATTATCTAAAGTTATACTAGTTTTTTTTTTAATAAAATGTTAATGTTTCTATATGTAAGTGCGAGATTCGCGCAGTTTTCGTGTAAACGAGTCGTTTCATGGCAGATGATTGCTTAAATTTACGATATAACCCAGTCGTGAACACATCGTAACAAATAAAGCCTTCGGAGGGCACGTCAGTTCACTGTTATCACGTATATATTATGGCATAGTATATATAACTAAATACGTATTTATAAAGAGCTATTGCCCGCAAGCTTCTTTAGCGGGAAATTAAAAAAAAGGTCGTCTATAACATTCCCGCGTGCATCTGCCTTAACCTTTTTAATTGCGATTTTCAACAACGCAAATACATAACCTTCGCGAAATCTGGATTTTTTTCTCGATGTTACATACAGACATTCCAATTTTATTACATGTATAGATATCTCTCTTTTACTGACTGTACCCCTAGTGGCGTTCATACGTAAAGATACGAATCGAATAACATCTCGTTCGAAATCGATTCAATCGTTTAGGCTACAGAAGATCTCGATAGGAAACATGACCCACTTTCAATTGTACAAGGTGAAATTCAATTTCATGACAGGTTATGGAAGTCTATCAGAGGAAAATGTAACTTCATAACTGAAATTGCAATAACACACGATATTAAATTGAAATCCTTCATAGATCTGAAATTGATTAACAGCAGTAGTATCATAGATGGACAGAAAGCTCTAATATCGGTCTATTACCAAGCGGACATACATTGGTCACTGAATTTGACATCTAGCTAATAGAATTTCAAAGAGCCCTTGATCACGGGCGATATTGGAACGTCTACGGAACTGATTATAGCATCTGTAACACGCAACGTGGATCGCTAAATGTATCTGAAACAGATATGTGATTCGATATTAACCGAAATTCCATTGACTTATCCATCTATCTATCTATATATGAACCTATAAACAACCTATTTATCTATCAAGATTGGTTTCAATTCAGTATTTTGAATTTAAACATGTCGGGTTACTACGAAAATTGATTTGAACCGGCTCCTGTTTATTGTGTATTTACCGTCTTTGTGTATGTCAATATTTACGTTGACACTTGCATTGTTTTTGAAACGAGAAATCTTGAGCAGTGGATCGATACGTAGGTGAGGTTGTTATATTCCCTTCTTTATTTTTAAAAGAAGTATTGTATAAAGTGTTTTGGTCGAAATTACACATATAGACATTCCAAAGATTTTTTTCCGAATAGCCCATGTTTATGAAACTTATATTTTATTGATTGATGGAAAGTTAGACAAGGTATTTATTGTTAGCGAAAATTCCCTTCAATATCAATGCCATACTTATAACGACGGAAAGTTCCGCGTATTTCCTGTAATAGTTGAATTTGTGCAGATTGCGTTCGTAATGTAATAGAGTCGTTTCATCTGTTTGCGATCTAAAGTTTTAATTAAATGGATGCGGGGCATTTATCGGTGTTCAGGCTTCCACGGACGCAATAATTGTGGTACTCAACAGTTGTCGGGTAATTCAATTTGCTCTTTGTTTGTTTTGGCATTTGGAAAACCTTATTTTATACATCTCTATTGATGCAAGCTTAAATTTATATACGACATTAGCATTTGATACGTGTAAAATTTGATATTTAAGAGATGCCATATCTGTTGAAAGGTCTCCTGGCAAAGAAATTAGAAAAAAAATGAATAGAGATTGAATTCAATAAAAATTGTTAGGCAATCAAAGACAATGACCTTTAAGCCGTTTATAATTTTTGGCCAACTCAATCGTTTGTACGCTGGCCGTCTATTTTTGTCAGTTTCGTCACTAGATGTATGAAGGACGCTGAAATGCGGTTGGTTTAGGATAAAAGCTTTCGTACGTGTCGCACTACGGCCGCTATAAAGACGCAGGCCCAAGTTTATGACCCCTGCACTCGTGCCGATAATAAATTACGCAATTCATAAAAGGGATAGAATACCCGGTGAGGTGTTATCGAACTACTCTGGGTAGTCCTTACAGTCTAAGTTTAATTTCTCGAACTTGCTTTTAAACGGTCAATATTAAAATGGAAATATTTTTGTATCTATTTATTATTGTTGTTTTAGTACACAATATAATTTATAATCTTTTAACCCATGTCATGGGCTGCCTATTATTATCATCATCATCAAACTGTGAAGGCAAGAGGCGCTCGGAGTATACCTAAGAGGTGTCTACTATACCTAGGCTTTGTTGAACTACGCAGGCCCAGAATTTCGGTTAACTTCACATGCGTATTTTTCAATTTATTCACTGATAACTTCACCGTAAAAATATCAAGTAAATGAACATAGAGAATTCGAAATCGAATAACACATTGGCAAATAGTGGAGGTCGAACCTAGACTTGTAGGTTATGATCCGGTCCGATTAGGCGTTTTACAACTGCGCTACTGACATTTTCCTAATTATCATCCCCTAACACAAATTGTAAAAAGTGAAGTAAAAGGTATTATTTTGTAATGGCTGAATCTTTAATTCAAAAGACGATTTTTATAATTCCTCTACAATCAAAATCTGTAATAATTTCTATTGAATCTATATTAAAATTCATTCGATGACCAAATGTTTTAAATGAAAATGAATATTGTGTCTATAGTAGCACTCGATGACCCTGTGGCCGCGATGTTAGTGTATTGGGCAATCACACACCAGTCCTGAATTCACTGTAGTGTCAAAATATTTACGATACTTATATTTAAGTAAAAGATTGTAATAAGTACATACAATATCTAAATATTATTACGCTTAATATTTCTACCACTTTATTTTTTTCTAGAGTCATAACAATCATTATACGATAAGAATATCTGTCAAATGTCCGTGAACGTATCAAAAATCTGCGTCAAGCGCTAATCACAGTATGAAAGGGTTTATTTTTTATTTTTATATTTTTATTTTATTTATTTACAGATAACTTACAGCTAGCTTAAAAAAATAATAATAAAAGAAATAAAAAAATGAAGGCCAATTACAAGGGTTGACGCATATTTGTCCTAAAATGTATTTAAAACTCTGTCTTAGTTTTTTTTTAAAATTTAATGGATTTAAATATAATTCATGTGATTAAAAAAATAATAGTTTTAAAGAATAAAGATGTTTTATGAAAGACGTTTTAATACATAAAAATGTAAAGTGCTATTTTCGTACGCCTATTAGAAATAGAGCCGGTCAACGTTTGCTCTCTGGGGACTTTGATCTTGAAATTTGGTTTATTCTGTGACATTATTATATTTCAATGAATATTTCGTTTTTTTATTCACGAAATCGATCAAACGAGAACATTAAAAGTCAAAAACATTATTACAGTATGTGCTGTAGCGTTGTGAGTAGCACATACTGTGCCGACCATCCATAAGGGATAAGGGCAAGTTGATGATGATCTACTTGCCCTTGAGATGATGAGAACATCATCAGCCATGGTTAGATTTAGCCACCAGAGTACATAACATTTCTGTTATGTCTTATTAGATTTTTATTTTAACAGTAATACAAACAGTATAAGAGTTTATGTAGACACATTCTAGGCCTCTTTATTTACAATGTTCAAGTCTCAGTCTTCTTATAACTTATGGAGATATTGTTTTTCTAACAAAAATGACACTTTAAACAATACATAAATCGTAGATAACAGTATCAACTATGAATATTATTAATACTAAAATTTCACGAGAAAAAATATATTATTCATGTAATTTTAGTTTGCAATTTTCCAGAATCATTGTTTTTACATTTTTATGTTGAAAATCATTCTGCTACAGTGGCACTATTGAAAGTATATTTCAATGCAACCGTCGGCTATACGAAAGCTAAAATAGTGACGTCCATTACCTATGTTTACGAAAGCGATAAAACACGAAAGGTTTGTTGTTTCATAATAGTATCGAGAATGCCTCAGCTGTATCTGCAAACGGCTCCGCTAATCTGAAGAATGTTATTCTTTTTAATAAGCAAAACACTAAAACTAATATATTAACCATACTATTATTATAAAGACAAAAGTTTAGATGGATAGATGGATGTTAGAGTTTGTAACCTAAACGGCTAAACGGATTTGGAAGAAATTTACCATAGATGTGGAACATAGTCTGGTAGAACACTTTACTTATTATTAGTTTTTGAATTTCATGCTGACGGAGTCACGGGCAAAAGGTAATATTTTTTA